CAATAAAAGCAAATGTATATGACCTGAGTTTAAAAATTGAATAAACCAACTCCCAGTAAAGCAAAAATATAAAATAAAATGTTACTTGGAAAATATAAAAAATATTTTTCAAGGAAAGAAGGAAAACACAAATAACGAGTGTGACTAAGAAATCAAGCCAGAGTCAAGGACTCTGCTCCAGGGCTGTGTAAATATGTTTAAATAGGCTGGCTTAAAACTGAAAGACACTACTAAAGTCCATATAGTAAAGTCAAGTCCTGACTATCTTAGGACTCATTTTAGAAATATGAAAACAGTATCAGGAGGTTAAGTGATACCTATGTTTTTTAGCATTTTATTAGGGAAATTTTCAAACATACACAAAAGTATAGAAAGAATTGTATAATGAATCCCATGTCACCATCATTCAGCTTTAATAATTATGAAAAAAGTGGCCAATGTTTACCCCTACTACCATTGGAATGAAATAAATAAACAAACAAACAAACAAACAAACAAACAAACAAACAAACAAACCGCAATGCTAGGGCTTGGCTTTGGTGTCCTAGGAATCTCCAAATTATTTTCATAGTCTCATCATGAAACTTTTGGATTTAAAAATATTTGATTAGTATTAAGCCCCTGTAGTCATTAGTCCTTTTTTATGCTCACAGAGTCCATCTGAGGCGAATGATAGTCCCTTCATTCTTGTTCCTCTGTCCTCTTTATATGATCCCAATAGTCTTTGATAGACTCTTAATTTTTGGTATCAAATGATGGTATAGTGCAGTGCTTTTCAAAGTGTGGTCCCTAAACCAGGAATGTCATCAACACTTGGGAACTATTAGAAATGCAAATCCTTGGGGCTTACCCCAAACATATTGAATCAGAAACTCTAGGGACAGGAGCCAGCAATCTATTTTTTAAAAAGTCTTCCAGGTGACTCTAGTACATACTAAAGTTTGAGAACCACTAATCTAGGTTTATCTGTATACTTCCTTCTCCAATCCTGGAATCAGCCATTTCTTCAAGAAATCCCAAGCTTCTTTTAGTGGTGATCACACATAAACATCACAATCTTGGTGCTAGGGACACTCACTACCACTAAGTTGTCATTTGTAATAACGTGATTAAGAAACATATTTAAGTATTAATAGCAGAGTAGTTACTAAAAGAATTGAGATCAGATCCTAAGTGTCCTAATGTGTAGTCCTGTGTTCTTTTCACTATATTTGAATGAATTACATCCATGTGTAACTTGCACATAGCTATAGTTTTTTTTTTTTTTTTTTTTTTTTGAGACAGAGTCTCACTCTGTTGCCCAGGCTAGAGTGAGTGCCGTGGCGTCAGCCTAGCTCACAGCAACCTCAAACTCCTGGGCTCGAGTGATCCTTCTGCCTCAGCCTCCCGGGTAGCTGGGACTACAGGCATGCGCCACCATGCCCGGCTAATTTTTTTGTATATATATATTAGTTGGCCAATTAATTTCTTTCTATTTATAGTAGAGACGGGGTCTCGCTCTTGCTCAGGCTGGTTTTGAACTCCTGACCTTGAGCAATCCGCCCGCCTCGGCCTCCCAAGAGCTAGGATTACAGGCGTAGCTATAGTTTTTTATAATTTTGATATCTATCATTTACTGAGACATCTTGGAAAAATCAGTTACCTATTCTAGTTTTCTCTATATGTAAAATATAAATAAATAATATCTCTCATCTCATATAAATAGGAAATAAGAGATTACATATGAAAGAACTTTTGGTTTTCTCAAAAAACTGACAGAAGATTAGAAGAGTATATTTTATTTACAAAGATAGCCTGGTAACAGAAAACATTAAAGGGGGGGAAAAGATAAATTAAACAGGTAAGGAGCCAACATAAACACAGGATGCTGTAGCATAAAATAAATTTTATTTTCTACAATTAAAAAACAACGTGATCATCCCCAAAGGCAATCACAGCAGCAACAAAAATAAATAAATGGGACATGATCAAACTACAAAGCTTCTGCACAGCCAAAGAAATAGTCATGAAAGTAAACAGACAACCTACAGAATGGGAGAAAATTTTTGCATCCTAAGCATCCGATAAGGGACTGATAACTAGAATATACTTAGAACTCACGAAAATTAGGAAGAAAAAATCAAATAACCCCATTAAAAAGTGGGCAAAAGACTTGAACAGAAATTTTTCTAAAGAAGACAGAAGAATGGCCAACAGACATATGAAGAAATGCTCAACATCTCTAATCATCAGGGAAATGCAAATCAAAACCACAATGAGATATCACTTAACCCCAGTGAGAATGGCCTTTATCAAAAAATCTCCAAACAATAAATGCTGGCGTGGTTGCGGAGAGAGAGGAACACTCCTACACTGCTGGTGGGACTGCAAACTAGTTCAACCTCTGTGGAAAGCAATATGGAGATACCTTAAAGCGATACAAGTGAATCTACCATTTGATCCAGCAATCCCATTGCTGGGCATCTACCCAAATGATCCAGTGACACTCTACAAAAAAGACACCTGCACTCGAATGTTTATAGCAGCACAATTCATAATTGCAAGGCTGTGGAAACAGCCCAAGTGCCCATCAATCCAAGAATGGATTAATAAAATGTGGTATATGTATACCATGGAGTACTATTCAGCTCTAAGAAACAATGGTGACATAGCACATCTTATATTTTCCTGGTTAGAGCTGGAACCCATACTACTAAGTGAAGTATCCCAAGAATGGAAAAACAAGCACCAGATATATTCTCCAGAAAACTGGTATTAACTGAGTAGCACCTAAGTGGACACATAGGTACTACAGTAATAGGGTATTGGGCAGGTGGGAGGGGGGAGGGGGGAGGGGGTGGGTATATACATACATAATGAGTGAGATGTGCACCATCTGGGGGATGGTCATGCTGGAGACTCAGACTTTTGGGGGGAGGGAAGGAAATGGGCATTTATTGAAACCTTAAAATCTGTACCCCCATAATATGCCAAAATTAAAAAAAAATTAAAAAAAAAAAAAAAAAACAACGTGATCATCGTTCAAGAAAGCAAGATTAAATTGAAACCCTTGATATAGTCAAATTATTAACCAATTTCATAAAATATAAAGATGCCACTTCAAACTTCTGGGTAATGAAATAACTTATTGTAAACATTCTAGTGAAACTGTTAGCTATAAAGAAGAAATATCCTCACCACACAAAATAGGCTAAAATAAATTAAAAGGTAAAGGTAAAAAATTAAAGCACAGAACTTAAAAATACTTACGGGTAAATACATATTCTCAAAATGGGGAAATTAAGCAAAAAAATCCATAGGAGGAAGCTAACATGAAAGGGACAGAGATCGCAATTACATTAAGAAACAAATGAAAATTCAAGACATGAAAAAACACTCAATGTCAGTATCAGAGAAATATAAAACAAAAATGAAATATTTTCTACGTGTCAGACTTACACTTTCTTTAAAAAGGAAAAACATCAGGAAAAAGAGAAAATTGCCAATATTAACTGTTGTTGCCAAGGGTGAGGGAAAATTGGTATGCTGCTTTTTCTAAAAGTTGATGCATCTGAGGAGATTTATACTTTTTCTCTAAGGAGTATAATCAATAAAAGTTATATAAAAGAGGATTAAAAAAAGAAGTAAAAAGCAGAGTCCTCATGTCTTAAATGAATTTGTTGTCAAGCCTAAAAATGGCTTCTAGGTAACTCTTCCAAATCTCTCCAGTAAAGATTGTATAATTATGCAACTTGTAGCATACATGCTCTCTCATATTCAAATAGAAAATGCAACTAGAGAAAAACAATCTGGCAGCGCCTTAATAGTCTTACCAGGAGTTTTGGAGGATTTTAGCAAGCTTATGGTATTCCTCTCTAAAATCTAAACATTAATTCTGAAGCATTACAGTCAAGACAAACAGGGCCAGGCACGATGCCTCACGCCTGTAATCCCAGCACTTTGGGAGGCTGAGGAGGGAAGATCACTTGAAGCCAGGAGTTCAAGATCAGCCTGAGCAAGAGCAAGGCCCTGTCTGTCCAAAAATAGAAAAATTAGCTGGGGGGGGGGGGTGTTGGGGATGGGGGGTGCACCTGTAGTCCCAGCTACTTGGGAGGCTAAGGTAGGAGAATCCCTTGAGCCCAGGAGTTTGAGGTTGCAACGAGCTATGATGCACCATTGCACTCTAGCCCAGGTGACAGACTGAGACTCTGCCTCAAAAAGAGACAAATAGGACAGGCTATAGATCAAGAAAGTCCTAGTTAAAAGTATGGCTAAACCACTTATAAAGTTTAGTAATGCAATGTCTCTGAGATTATTTCCTCATCTGCAAAATGTGCAGCTACTCCAGTGGATTACTGAGAAGGTTAGAAAAATAATGAATGACCAGGGCCTAGTTTTAAATATTGTGAACCTAATTGGCACTTATAATATGATAGTTGCTGCTACTGTTATTTAGCCTGGCTTAATTAATCTATGAATAATTAGGTTTACAATTCAATTATTGCTCCACTGAAGTAAAAAAGTATAGTTTATATGTCCTGTATGATGATAAAGTATTCTCTCTAAATTGGATTTTTGAAAGAGGAAAGGAAGGAAAGATTAAGGAAAGAAAAGGAAAGAAAGGTAGAAAGGAAAGAGAAAGAAGAATGGAAAAAGGGAAGAAAGACACAAATCAAGATTAGCAATGCATTTTAATGAATGGGATTGGCAGTTATAATGACAGCCCTGAACCTTAATATAACCCACTCATTAAACTGTCGTTGAACTTACCAATTAAGTATGATCAACTTGAAGAAGGATGAATTTTCTCCTATGCTGAGGTGTCCTCACAAAGCTGTGGAATAAAACTTGCATTTTCTATTTAAAGCCATTCCTTTATTGCTAACAGTTGGTCTGAGAGGAAGGCAGCAAGCAGGGTTAGAAAGAGAAAAAAGAGGAGGATAAAGATGAAGAGAAAAACAACATGCAATTATGGCTCAATCTCTTCACCTGATCCTTTCAGAGTCTCCTTGTGTTCTAACCTGTAGTTGCTGGGAGCTGTCATTGAGATTGTCCTCCCTTCGTCGCGCTTCCTCTAGCATCTGTGCACTCTTCTTTTTTTCCACCTGTTCCTTGTGCTTCAGATTTGCTACCTTCTTATTCTGGTCTTTCACTTGCCTAATGACAGGGGGAGAAAAATCAAGTCTTGCATATATATGTATGCAGAGAAAAGAATATGTTTACTTACAGACTTATACCAGAGGCATCAAGGAACAGCTGAAAACCAATAAAGAATTCCTGTTGCAAAATGTTTTTAACAATTTCAAACTCTTTCCTACCAATTGTAGCAAATTGTTTATAAAAATTTCCTCTAAAGAACATGCATTTCAGCATGTAGTTTATAAAGCACAATGAAATAATAAAACAAAAGAAAGGTATGGGATAATTTTAAATGACAAAAAAAGTCAGAATTTATGTTGGAAAAATAGAAGCAGTCTCCTGACAACAATGCACTGAAATATTAGTTAGGATGGCTGATTAAGAAAGATTTTGTAATATCATTCTAACTTTACCATTTTTAAATATTTCAAACATTCAGAGGCTATACATTATGTATATGTATGTGAAAATAGTGATATAAAGATGCAGGAACCCAGCTTAAGAAAGAGAACAGTATACCTACTTCTGAAGCTTCCCACGTGCCTCTCCCTATACCATTCCACTGCCTATTAGTCTACCCTCCACTGATAAGATTAACCTATACCTGAAAATTTGTGTTTAAAATCCCCAGCTTTTTATTATTGTGATGCTACATCTACATATAGATCCTTCATTTATAGTCCGCATGTTTTTGAACTTTATAAAGTTTACTAATAAGCTATTTTTCCTTTCAATCTATAATATGTTTTGAGACTCAGACTAATCAGAGTGTAACGTAGCCTTTTATGCGCTCCATTTTCACTGCAGTATGAAATGATGTATGGTAATATTTTAACCTGGTCTCAAGTGAATGGGCGATTGTGTTGTTTCCATTTTCTTTCTATTATAAACGATGCTGCTAGGTACCTTCTGTCATACCTGTGCAAAAGTTTCTCCAAGTTAGTATAGGCCTAGAAACTGAATTGCTAGGCCATGTAACAGGTACATCTTATTTTATTTTCCAAGAAATTATATTTATACTCTCAAAAGTAGTACATAACAATGCCCATTATACCTGTCCACATCTACTAACACTTGGTACTATCTGACTTTCTAAATTTTGCCAATCTGGTAGACATAAAATAGTATCTCATTATAGTTGTAAGATGAACGTTTCCGACTACCGATGCTGAGTATTTTTTCAGATGGAATTTAGTCATTCCTCTTTCCACTTCCTTGAAACAGCTATTCATGGTTTTTTGCCCATTTTTAAATTAGGGTATCTTTTTCTTATTGACTTAGAGGTATTCTTTATATGTTATAGATAATAATACTTTATTCGCTATATGTTATTTAATATTTTATTCAAATATATGAATTCTTTGATGACTTTATGGTATATTTTCATTTATAGAATTTAATATTTAAATTGTTTCAAATATACCCAATCTTCTCCTTGATGACATTCAATCTGGTGATGTTTTTCAACAAAATTTTGCCCATCCCAAGTTCATAAAGATACTCCCCTAAAAATGTTATAACTTTGTCTTTCACACTGAAATCATTAATCCACCTGAAACTGATGTTGTGTGTATGACATGAGCTAAAGACATAATTTCATTTTTTGGGTATGGTGTGAGATAAGAATAAAATACATTTTTTACATGTACTAATAACTAATGGTCCCAGCAATACTTACATGCACTGCCAATTCTGGCACGAAGTTACTGTATACATGTATGTCTGTTTTGTGGCTCTCTAGTTTGATATGTTATGATATTTCAGTGATCTATACAACTATGATTACTATGCCTTTATAAGAAGCCTCAGTAACTGGTAAGGCAAGCCTCCCCCTACCTTTATCTTCCTATTCAAAATAGTCTTGGCTATTCCTGACCATTTATGCTTTTTGTACAAATTTCAGAACTAGCCTGTCAAGTTCCACCAAACCAACCATCAACCTATAGCAACAAAAACTACACAGTAGCCTTTGGTATTCCAAATCCAGTTGCAAGAAATGACACCTTCATGCTCTTGAATCTTTTAATTACTTAACATAGTACAGATGCTTCTCAACTTACAATGGGGTTACATCCCAATAAACCCATTTATAAGTTGAAAATATCATAAGTCCAAAATGCACTTAATACATTTAACCTATAAAGTATCACCTGTTTACCCTTGTGATTACATGGCTGACTGGGATCTGTGGCTCACTGTCGCTGCTCAGCATCACAAGAGAGTATTGTACCATATATTGCTAGCCCAAGAAAAGATCAAAATTCAAAATCTGAAGTACGATTTCCACTGAATGCATATCACTTTCCTACCATTGTGGAGTCAAAAAAAATCGCAAGTGGAACCATCATAAGGGGGGAACTATCTGCATATCTCTCCATTCATTTAGGTCTCCTTAAAAGGCTTCTAAAAAAACATTATACTTTCCTCCATAAAAGATATGCATCTATTTTATTCCTATGAACATTGTGGTTTTTTGTCATTTTAAATTCCAGACATAATTTCATTATATCCCATACATGCTTCTTATGCATCTCAAAAAGGGGCATTTTTAATAATGTAAATATTAACAAAATTAATAATAATTCCTTGGTATCATATTATACTCCATATTCAAATTTCCCCAGTCATCTCAAAAAGTTATTGTTTTTAAAATTGATTTGTTTGAATCAGAATGAAAAAAAAAACCCACCTTGTGTTTGTCTGTTAGATCCTTCAAGTCTCAAACTAGAAAAAAGTCTCTTAAGTGTTTCTCTATCCCCATTTTTAATGCCAGTGACTTTTTAAAAGAAATAGTTGTTCCATAAAATGACTCACATTCTGGATTGTATGTTTGCTGGTTCGTGGTGAAATTTAACTTATCTCCTGTTTTTTTTTGTTTGTTTTTCTTAGTACTGAATGTTAGCTATAAAGACATGAATACATTCAGTGTCAATTTTTTAGGTAAGTGTTCTATACTTGATACTACCTCACATCTGAAAGTATATAATGTCTGGTTTTCCCACCCTTAATAAAGCCAAGATTCCGGCGGCAGCAGCTGCAGCGGTCGGTCGGGGCTGTGGCTGGGGAAGTGAATGGTTTTACTGTGAATGGTGAGGGCCCTGCACCGCCTTTCTCCACAGGCACCGGCGCTGCTGCCTGCTCCTCCCTGGTCATGGCGTTCACGTTCGCGGCCTTTTGCTACATGCTGGCGCTGCTGCTCACCCCCGCGCTCATCTTCTTTGCCATCTGGCACATTATAGCATTTGATGAGCTGAAGGCTGATTACAAGAATCCCATAGACCAGTGTAATACCCTGAATCCTCTTGTACTTCCAGATTACCTCAATCCATGCTTTCTTCTGTGTCATGTTTCTTTATGCAGCAGCGTGGCTTACACTGGGTCTCAATATGCCCCTCCTGGCATATCATATTTGGAGGTACATGAGTAGACCAGTGATGAGTGGACCAAGACTCTATGACCCTACAACCATCATGAATGCAGATATTCTAGCATACTATCAGAAAGAAGGATGGTTCAAATTAGCTTTTTATCTTCTAGCATTTTTTTACTACTTATACGGCATGATCTATGTTTTGGTGAGCTCTTAGAACACACAGAAGATTTGGTCCAGTTAAGTGCATGCAAAAAACCACCAGATGAAGGGATTCTATCCAGCAAGATCCTGTTTCCAAGAGTAGCCTATGGAATCTGATCAGTTACTTTAAAAAAATGACTCCTTATTTTTTAAATGTTTCCACATTTTTTGCTTGTGGAAAGACTGTTTTCATATGTTATACTCAGATAAAGAATTTAAATGGAATTACATATAAATTAATATAAAATGATTACCTCTGGTATTGACAGGTTTGAACTTGGACTCCTTAAGGAACAGCCATAATCCTCTGAATGATTGCATTAATTACTTAGTCCATTGGAAGCATTTGTTTATAGGAATTGGTAGGGCTCATTTTGGTTTTATTGAAAGGATATCTAATTATAAATGAGCTATAGATATCAGGTGCTTCTGATGAGCTGGAAATGTATATCTGACTTGTGGGAAACTTCATGAGTTTCCTCATCTATCATGTAGATGATTATATATGGGTACATTTACAAAAATAAGAGTGGGATTTTTTCCCTTCAACTTGAATATTATCCTTATTGCATGAATAAGAAATTTCCCATATTTTCACCAGAGTAACAAAAATACTTGCTTTAATTCTTAAGCATAAGTGAACATGATCTAAAAAATATGCTGAATTACTTGTGAAGAATGCATTTAAAGCTATTTTGAATGTGTTTTTATTTGTAAGATATTACTTATTAAGAAATTTGTTATTATGGTTACTGGTGGTAAAGGTAGTCTTAAGAATTTGCACATACTTTAGATTTTCAAAACTGAATAACAGAGAAAATTGTATAACCCCATCCTGCTGTTCCTTTAGTGCAATACAATAAAACTCTGAAATTAAGACTCAATAAATAAATAAATAAATAAATAAATAAAGCCAAGATTCATCAGTGACTTAAGGCAGTTATAGGTGATATCTTCTATGTATGAAGTTTGCCATTCATCAATATTTCCTCTAATGGTTCCATGCAGTGACGAACTTCTGAATAATTTTAGTATCTTGTTTCAAATTACATTTTCTAAAGACTTTTTGTGGGCATATAGACATGCACATGGTTTCTATATATGGGTTTTATATCTGGCAAACTTGGTAAATGCTCCTGTTAATTCTAATTATTTTTCTGTAGATTCTTTTGGGTTTTCTATGTAAATAATTACATAATATACTGCCAAAGAAAACCAATAAAGCTCCTATAACTGATCCAAAAGAAATAGAGATCTAGGAATTGACTGACAAAAAAGTCAAAATAATCATCTTAAGCAAGCTCAATGAGCTTCAAGAGAACACAGACAAGTAAACAAAAATCAGGAAAACAATGCATGAACAAAATGAGTAGTTTAATAAAGAAATATAAATCCTAAAGAAGAACCAAACAGAAATCCTGAAACTTAAGAATACAATGACAGA